ACATCAATGCAAACAAGCCTCCGAAGCCGTTTTGCTTTTTTGGTTCCCAGCGAACTCGTCCTGCTTAGCCCTTTCTTTACTGGTGAACATTTTTCGTTGGGGGTTTTCCAATCAACCCACTGACGCAGCCGAAACCCGGTCGACCGGTCGACCGGTGGACGTCTCAGGCTTTAGTACCGTCGGGTGCCCGAAAGCTAGCAGGGGACACCGTGCTAGGCGAAGCGGGCGCCGAAAGGGATGTACGGCTCGTGCTCTCAAGACCCCTTGCCAGAATGGATGCCGATTTTTTTCCCATTCCTTACATGGGTTTGGGTAGTTTCCATTTGAATACCATCGGTTTTGAGTATGACTCATGTGTTGTTTCGGTTGTGACTCGGCCATTTGTCACTTGACCTGGCATGATGTCAATTCTTGTTTTGTGTGCCAAGGTTCTGCGCAACAGCCGCATGATGATTGCATCTGGCCTACTGAGCCCTTCTCCAATGGTCCAAGTGTGAAGAGGCTGTGCTCGGGCTAGCCCAAGGAGCAACCAGCAAGAAACCCCTCATACATGCGTTACATGCGCTTGCCAATGTCGCTTGCTGGGTTGCTTGGATTCGATTGGATTGGATTCGATTGGATTGGATTGGATTGGATTGGATTGGACTGCATTGGATTGGATTGCATTGCATTGGTTGATTGGATTGATCGATGACTTGTCAGATCCTGGGCGTTGGATGATGAATGATGGGCCTAGGATGATGTATGATCAATTTTGGTGATTGATTATTGATCATTGATCTGTGATTATGAATTCTCGATTGATGTTTGTAATTATGCTCATGGTGATGATGCCACGCTCAGCGTATATGCATTTGCACCTAGACTGCTTACTCAAGGAGCGCTCTAATTGCCAACCACTTGTGAAGTGTTTATCATGAGAAGCGTACTTTGAATGCGTAGCACTTTTACCTACTTCAGGTCAACCCCCCTCCCCCCCCTCCCCGGGTTGTTTGTTTTGCTCTGGCACTTGCGGCGCCCTTGCATATCTCATACCACGCGGTGAGCAGACTGCTGTGCATGGGTTGACCGGTTGGACAGGTCGCGAGGAGCCCCCGGCTTTGGAAATGCCTCTCAGGGTTTCTCCATTTCGACGCGATGAGTGCGCCTGAAGTCAGGGGTGGGTCACTGAGTTTTATCACAGGCTAGGCGTGGGATTCTTCGAGGGTACCCCTTTCACCGTTCAAAGGGAAACCAAATGGACGGAACCCACCAATTTGTTTTTGGCCCCCCGATCCTGACACACACACACACACATACTAATGGAGCAAGCGGGAAACCGTCTGAGGCTTCACCGACTTTATTCCCCCTTGAACACAAGTTGCAAGTTACGTTGTTTTTGGGGTGATGTTCGAAGGGGGAGATGGAGTTGGACCACTGAAACGGCCGAGGGGTTATGACCCTCTCTCCAACTAACATAGCACCTGTTGGAAGGTACCTTCAGGAGCAAATTGATCTTCCAGGTACCCTCCAACAGGGGCTATGGGAGAGAGGGTGATGAAAGTCAGAAGCTGAAAGCGAAGATGGACCTGGCCAGGACCTGGGCAGGCCAAGGTCGTGGCCAAGTTTTGCTTCGCCGCCCGGCCGGGAAGTGCTTGTTGGCAAAAGGGGGGAGGCGGGGAGGTGGGGAGGTGGGTCGGGTGGGGCCGGATGTCACATCTTGGGGGGAGAATGTGAATTCTTGGGTCTGGGATCTTATCTTTTGGATCTTATCACCGCGCTTCTTCTTCTTCTTTCTCGTCTTCTTGAAATTTTTTAGGGGCTCCAAAGAGGCGTTTTTTTGTTTTGGACGCGAGATCCCAGTCCCAGTCCTTTTCCACGCGAACACACGAGATCCCAACTTCCGAGCATCGAGGTGCACAGACCTGTAGAAAGACGAGTCTTTCCTCTTGGTGAGTTGGCCTTTTTGCACAAACCCATGTTAGTTGGTGGGAGGGTATCATGATTGACTTTGATGTCTTATTTCGAGAACCAAGGATTGTTGTTGAAATTCACCGGTTTCAAGACATGCTTGCAACTGAGAGTAGCCAGAAGCTTCTGCATCGTTTGATGGGTTTCAGAGAGAGATGTTGGGAATCGAACAGGGATGGCCACCCGCGCTTTCATTGATTTGAGTGAACACCGCTGTCCTCGTACCGCAGTACATGGCTCAACTGATATTGGCCCTCAGATAACAATGATGTAAATCCATCTCCTTGGTTTAGTGGGGGTTTCTATTTAACCCACCAAAAGTTAAACTTTTAGCAGGGGACCAGTTTGGACAGCCCAGATAACAATGATGTAAATGGCTGTGGGTCAACACCAATGGTACCATTTTGGGGTAGGTGCCCCACCCATTTTAGTCTATTTTAGTGGTTGGATTGGGATGTTCACTGAGGGTTAACCGGGTTTTGAGCCATGACCACTTGCTCAACTAGGTAAGGATCCTTCTGTTTGCACTTCAACCCATGCTCTAAGGGATCTGAGGACAGCCCCCGACAACAATGATGTAAATGACGCCCAGTGCAGGGCTCCTTACAAGATACATGTTGGCCAGTTGAAACATGTTGCTTTTTCAACGCCAAAATGAAGGGAAACCACCATTTACAAGGCCTTTCCCACCAAAATGAAGGGAAACCACCATTTACAAGTTGCAATGTTCAGGTGTATAATGCATCCGGATCCTTGTGGTGCTGAACAAATCGGCCGCTCTCTCTGAGGACTTCAACCCCCAGTGCCGCGATGCTACTCCCTGCCAGCACCCGCCCGGACAGCTGGACATGCAGGCAAGCAATCGGCGCAGCCTTTTTCCGGCTGCAAAAGGAAGCCCAGGCCAAGCAATCCCAAACCTTTCAACACTTTGTCAAACTGGGTGGAAAGCACATTTGTTTTCTTTCAGGTGTCCCTTTTTAGGAGAAATGGACTTGTGGGTGGGCTCGGTGAGACAATTTGCAGGGTCCTTGTTTTGGAGACACATGGTATGAGAGGTTGTCCCCACTTGTTCCTTTGTGGCTATTTGGTTGGATCTTTGCACTTTAACTTTTCGGGACGCAGTGGTTTGCATTGGACCTACAAAGAGTTAAACTTTGTGCAGAAGGCTCAACAGCAACCAAGGTTTGAGGTGTACACCGTTGCATTGACCATTGTGGTCTATGCCCTGCGGAAGGGTCCAAAGCTTTCTAAGAATGTGTCAGAAGCCACATGCCGGGTTAGGGGCCGTGGCTGCACATTAACATAAAGTAGTTCATGCTCTTTTGTTAATCGCTTATTGGATGTGCGTGCCGGGAGTCTCTTTCGTTGCGGAACGGTACTTTCTTTTCCGTGTAGACAATGTAATCAGAGTCATTTCTGAAGGAATCCTGACGATCCACCAACACTCCCGCGATGTTGCAATGATCGCAAACAAAACACAACACAACCCAACACAACAACACAACACAGCACAACACAACAACACAACACAGCACAACACAACAACACAACACAGCACAACACAACACAACACAACGCACCACAACACAACACAACACAGCACAACACAACGCACCACACTACACCACACCACACCCCACCGCACCACAGCACAACACAACACAACACAACACAGCACAACACAACACAACACAACACAACACACACCCCGGCACACCACGCCACACCACACCACACCACACGCCACACCACACCACGCCACGCCACGCCAAGCCACGCCACGCCACACCACACTACACCCCACCACCGCACAACCACATCGCCACACCACCACACCACACCATCACGCCACCACACCACACCACCACACCACCACACCACCACACCACCACACCACACCCCCACACCCCCACACCACACCACACACGCACACACAAAGACAAACACACAAGAACAGAGCACAACACGACACAGCACAACACACCGTATCACAAAACAACACAAACAGCATAACATAAACGCACTGCAACGCAACGAAACACAACGCAACGCGACACGAAGCACACAAAGCAACACAACACAGCACAACACAAAACACCACAACACAACACGACACAGCACAACACAAACCAACACAACATAACACGACACAAATCAAAACACAACACGACACAGCACAGCACAAAACAACACAACACAACACAACATGCAAAAACACAATCAACACTCAACAACACAAAGAGCACACAAATCAGCACAACACAACCTTCACCGTCAGAGATGCCTGTGAGCCACATGACCGGTAAACCGTTGACGCGCTACATGACTAAGATTGTGCTGGGTTGGATGACTGCAAGCCTCGCCCACGCGCTACATGAACTTGGTGCGTGCAACGAGTGGCCATTGACAGGTATGGGATGCCAAAGTGGAGCGATTTTTCAGCGAGGCGGCGCATGGTGCAGTGTCGTCGTATCATCTCATGTTTTTTTCCATGTCCGAGGTGTTCATGATTTATTTCACATCTTCCTTGAAGCTAATTCATGCCCAGGCATGTGAGGCGAGTCCTTGCTTAGTTTTTGTTTTGCCTTGTGATATCTTTCGTTCCGTTTTAACATACCACATGCCTCGTGTTATCTCAAGCCTGGACTCACGTAGCCATGAGTTCACGGGAGCTCGGCTTGCGGAAGTCTCTGGAAGCCTCTTTGACCCTCAACGTCTCTCGCATTCCACGCCCCCGGAACACGGATTTCCAAGCAATACGTTTTCTGCAGGCATCTCGGGTTTGGGGAGCCTTTTTGGGGGGTTTTTGTCTTATGCGGGGAGTGTTTTCCACGACGCCAGGCTTGCAGCCACAGATCAGGGAAGCACTCAGTTTTGTGGGTCTCCAGGTAAGGAATTTCCACAAATCCAACCGCAAGTTTTGGGTACAGGGAGGGGCGGCCAATCTCTTCTACTGGGGATCTCCAAGCAGGGTTTCCTTTTGTTTTTTCCTCGAAAAACAACATTGGAGAGAAAGGGTACAGCATGCCATGCCATCTTCATCCATTTGCATGGATGTGACACTACTTTTGTCTATGTCAACACGGCTGGGGGGGGGGTCGGGTGGCGGGTGCATGTAGGTTGCCCATATGGCAGTGGCTCAAAATTAAAGAGCTAGGGTTACGCAGGTTTTGGTCCATTTTTACACTTACCAGGATTCCATTTTGGAATTCCGGTTTTGTGAGCCATACCCATATGTGAAAAAAAAACACAAAAAAGACACATGTCCAGCTGGGCGTGGCCTTCGGAAACTTCGGCCTTTTCAGGCGCAGCCGAAGGTGTCCTTGGCGCTCTTGGACGATGAGTCATCGCCCCAGATGGCACGTGCTTTCGTTGGAGTCCGGGGCATCATTTGGCCATGGGTCAACAGCCCCAGTTCGTTAGCCCCCAGTTAAAACAATCCCAATCCAACTACTAGAACAGGTTCTAGCATGGGTGGTGCACCGAAAACCCCAAAATGGGAATCCCAATTGGTTTTGACCCACAGACAGGTGTCCTTAGGGAATGAGACATGATTTTGATTGAAACGATCCCGCATGGTTTCCTTTAAAGAAATCGCCTTCCCGTTCATTCCCAACTGTCCTTTTGATCGGTTTGGTTGGAAAGAGATGGGTACTGCTGGTTTGGATTGTTTTTTCCTGAATGACCCCAAGAAAACCATCGCGCATGGTTTCCTTTAAGGGAATCCCTAGGTTCATTCCCAGCACCCTGGGTCATTCCCTACTGAGCATTAACAAGTCCTGAGTCCTTTCCAGAAAGCCAGCAGTTTCGACCCTTCTTGCCACCTGATGTCCAATCTTAATTTAGTATTTTTGAGATCTGGAGACCAAGCAGAAAGTAGCTGCAGTTTTGTTTTTTTTTAAGGATGGGTTGAAACCATGGGGAGTCAACCCGCAGAAAATGAGAGAGAGAGAGAGAGAGATGGCTGGAAGGGCAGTGCAAAGCACCCGGCAATCGCCCCATACTGGAATGCAACTTCACACGAATGTAATATGGCACTTTTAACATACAGGCACCCACTTTGAGCGGGTTGCTTCAACTGTCAGACTGGGTGGGCTTTGAGAGGGGCAAGCGCTGCGCACATCGTTGCCATCTACCATTTTGTCTGAAGGGGGGGGGGGGTGGTATGCAAGAAAGGTATGGGGCTTTCAAGCACATGGGTCGCTTTGGGACCCCGCGCCGGCGCCCAAAAATAAAGGCCGTCCACGCCCCAAAGCAGGCTGACCACGAAAGGCTCCTCCGCAAAGATGGCGTTCGTGCCTCACGTTTGTTTTTGCGAGAACCAAGATGACACATGCCAATCTGCTCCATGGGAAATCAAGTGGCTAGCATCCCTCGCTCACTTGGCCCGACAAAACACGGGTGGCTTGAAAGCATTGCATCTTCAATTGTTCAACTGGTGCTTCCCAACAAAACCTGCGACCGCAACCAATTCGGGGGTCCCAAACGCTGCTCATTCGCTCGGATCGGATCGCAGGTATTTCAGCTTCCCGGAGGTGTCTCAGGTCTGGGGCGAGGCTCGGAAGCCAAGACCCATGACCCATGGGCCGGAGCGGAGGGTTGGGTGGGTGGTGGTGGGGTGGTGGTGGGGTGGGGGTGGGGGGTTTGTGCACGCTCGCGAAAATGTGCGAGCGTACACACCCAAAGAATGTCTGCAGAAGTGATGGGTGAAGATTCGATCTCTAAGAACTTGTTTGGCGTGTCTTCACGTGTTCTCCAAAGCTGTGATGTTTGGTGTTGCATTGAGGTCAGGCCTTTGAGGAAGATCACGTTGAACATAGCCAGCTTCAGGGTTTCCAACAGGTCAGCTAATGTGCAACCGCTTTCCTTTTGGTTTCCCTTCAAAACCCACCAAAAGGGCCTGCCCCCTTAAAAACGGGTACACCCATATCACATTGCATTTGGAACACTTTGGATTGAGTTCCAGCGCCAGGCCAACTGCACGGACGTGGCGAAGGCTGCAAAGAAGGCGGGGAAGCAAATTCCAAGCTTTCGCATCGAATGTCGAGTCTCAACCATGGCCCAAATGGCCAGGTTTGGTGGAAAGATAGCCCTTTCAGTTCGGTTCTACTCATTTTCCATGGATTTCAAGCCAAAGCACCGCCTCAAGGCTTGGCCTTTCTGTGTCTGTGCACAGAGGAAGGGAGCTTCGAAACGTTGATGTTCTTGGCCAGCCAATCGGACATGGGCTCTCCTCACCGAAGTTCAGCCCACTCGAAAATCGAAGCCTTCCAATGGCTTGTTTTATGACGAGACCGCCATGTTCACTGACCCCCTTTCAAATTTGAGGTTTCCAACATGTTCGGCGGCATTTGTTCCAACAGCCAACCTCGATCCCTTCGAAATGAAACCTCCCTTTCTTCTATTTGCTCAAGATGATCTTTGTTTGTGCCTCTTGGTTATCTGTTCTACTGGACATATTTTTATTTTTCCAGGGGACTTAAGCAGATGGAAGTTTGGTTTCAGCAATCTCTTCGACCATGGAAGAATCCTTCAAGCCATTTGGCGCGCCAAGGGAAGCCACTCGTTCGCACAGGCCGTGCCACTCAACTGGCCCACCATCTCCAGCGAGAAGGGCCAGTTCCTGAACACCGTGGTGTTGGACCTTTGCCTGCACCGGATCAAGCGCTTGCCGCGGGGATAGGTGGATAGAAATGGCCGGTTGTCTGATATGTGCATCTTGAAACCAGGTGTATGAATCGCCAAAGAAGTTCCGGGCATGCGTTTTGAGCCGCCTGAACCGAACACGTTCTCTATCAATGAGGTTCTCAAGCCCCATCTGTTTGGCCCAGTCGCCAGCTAGCATTTTTACCCACTTATTTTTCAGCGCTGCTTGTTCTAGAAAACAAACATAGAGCTGATCGCAGCGGACTTGCTAGTCAGGATTGCGAAGGTCAAAACGAGCTCAAAGACCCGGCACAAATAATTCCATCTCCTTCGTGGTTCTGATGGAGGATTTGTACGTGGCTCGAACAAATTTGGTGGCCTATCCAGACACGCTGAAGCTTCTCGGACAGCTCGACATCAAAGCCGGGGATGTTCTTCTCAGGTGAAGCCCTTTAATTCGACGAATGAAAGTCTGCTAGAGCTTGTGTAAACAAGGTAAGCAAGCAACTCTCGCATTGCCCAGCTAGTGGATGGCAGGCCATTTTGGAGCATGTCCGATTCAGTCCATTTGGTTCTTTCTTATCTTGCCCAAAGAGTCCAAGTGTCGATGTCACAAAACGCAGAAGCCCCGAGGTTGGCCACAATTCCGTGAGGTTGGCTGTAGCTCCCCCCCCCGAATGCGAGAACAGCAGACAGCACCTGAGCCACGTGCTCAAAACCCGGGTAGATGAAGGCTAGGGATAGTCCCAACCATAAGTGGGTGCGGATATCCGCCTGCTTAATTCTTTACATGGCTCCGGGGATCGCCCATTTTTGTACCGGGCTTTGATCCTGACTCACCTGCTGGCTGGTTCCCTAGAGCACCGACCAACCCTCCGCAAGGGGTCCGTATATTTCCCTTGTTCAAGTTCATGGTTTCAATCATCACCTTCTTGGTCCACGAAAGGTGAGTATCCCTTGATTGAGTGATGTTTTACGGGGAAAACAGGGAGCCCTGTCCCACGCAATACATGTTGCCTTTCGAATGCGGCCCCAAGCTTAGGAGAAGATCCGGCCGCGGTGGTGGTACATCGCCCTGGCCTCCTGTTCCGACCAGTCGCTGAGCATGCGCTGCTCGGCCGCTTGCGAATCGGGTCCGGAAGCTCCTTTGCAACTTACGGATTACTTGGCTCCCAGCAATCTGGTTCCTTAGGTCTTTTGCCTTTCAGTTGGCTTGGTGTTTCTTTTTTTTCAACCCCCTAAAAAGTGAACACTTTGAGCAGTTGCTTTTTTTTTCAACCCCCTAAAAAATGAACACTTTGAGGGGATCCGTTTGGGGCTGCCCAGTTAGGATCTCATGCATCCCTACCGCTGCGAAGTGGATTTTGTCCATCCACACGAAGGTTCCCGGCTCGCCCTTCTCGGTTCTTGCTTCGCTTTGACGAGTCCTGCGAAGGGATGTGTCAAAGTGGGGATGATCCCCGGTTTTCTTCGCCTGTTTGAAAGCTGCAATCCAAAGGCCGTGGCCTGGCTGCTTCGTGTGGCTTTTTGGAGCAGCTACTCTCCAAATTTTGGATTACGGGTGGTCCAAAAGCCGGGGAAGACATGGCTGCGGCTTTCCTTTCGGTTTCCCAAGTTGGTACCATAAGAAGGCCAAGGCGCTTTGAGCGTAGAGGATTGCCCTGGCTGAAGCCGTGAGATTGTGCAGGGCTCCTTAACAGAAATTCATTTTGCCCATCCAGTTGAAACATGTGGCTTTTTTCCACACCAAAATAAAGTTGGAAACCACCATTTGCAAGTTGCAATGTTCAGGTGTATAGTGTAAAAAACAAAACCTGCTGTGATGTCAAGCCGCAAAGAACATGAGACCACCATGAGGTGGGCATTTGTAGGTTTTGCGTGGAACTGAACCGAAGGGGTCAGTGATTTCGAGCGGTGTTCAGGTTGCGCAAGATCGACGTTTGCATTTCTTGGTGGCTCCCCAACCATCCGGTTCCTTAGCTTCTTAGCTTTTTAGCTTAGTTGGTGTCAATTTATCCGGCTAATTTTCTGAAACCTCTGCCTACAATGTGCCAGGCACTTGGGCAGAGGTACAACCAATGTCGGGGGAGCCAAACCGGCATCTCGTCCGCTTGCGAATTGAGCCGGCGAGCCTTGCTCGGACAACATGGAGGGCGCTAAACGTTAATCACTTCATAACAAAGAATCTGATGGCAGCGATTTGGCTGGGTCAAAACCCTGCACCCCTGGTGAACATCAAAATAGGTGGAAATCAAATGGACGTTCCACCCCAAAATGGGATCGCCAGAGGTTCAACCCATGGCCATTTGGATGACAAGCTCACCTCAGGCTACCAGCTCTCTGTGGCCAATGTGCTGCAGGGCGCCAACGCGGAGCTTTCCATGGATGAGATCGGCGCGGGGGGAGGGCGGGTTTGGGCGGATTGAGCAGGTTGGGCGGTTTGGGTGGGTTTGGTGGATTGGGCGGTTTGGTCGAGTTCTAGGTGAATCAGAGCGAACTCACATTTGGAGGAAGTTCCTTAGGCATGAGAATCTCTGGGTTCAGTTTGGCGAGTTAGTAGAACAAGTCCAGAATTTCATGAGGCAAGAACAAGTCTTGGCCCATGTTCCGAGTTCTATGGTACCAAGAGGCTTAGCTTTGTCCATCAGATTGGGTTGGACGAGGGATTCGCTTTCATCACGAGTCCCTCTCTTCCCCTCGGTTGCGTTGAATGTGAGAGTCAATCGAAAGGCTGGGGTTGGGGTGATGCTTTGAACATGCGAGCTGCGCCCAAAACCCAGATTGGCAATTTTGCCCGGGGGTTCTAGTACCCGGTCTAACAAGGCTCACAGCAAGACTTTTTTTTAAATATATATACATATATATATATATATCTAGAGACCTTGGTAACCTTTTGGTAGAGCCGCACGCACTTGCGGGTTTTGGGCGCTGCTTGTGTTTGAAGCCTTTTTGTCCCCACTATTGCAGATTTTCCACCCCGCGATCGCCCAATTGACGGATTGACATGAAGGGCCGGATGAGCGACTCCTGGCAAAAGATAGTGACTGACAACATAGTTCACACTTCTATACGGGCATGTTTCTCTACTGCTATTGGGTTGGATCTTTAGACTTTAACTTTGTTGGAGTCCCCTCATATTTCCTTTTAACCACTACAGCACCCAAGGTTTGGCACGTCCATGTGCGTTGAGACCGGGCCCATTGGCATGGCCCAAAGTCACCGACAAGACGCGTCCCACTGGTCTAGTGGGGTTTCTACGTCCGCATGGCTGCAGCTTTTACCCAAGGCAGATCCGTGCGCAACAAATTCGCTTGACACTTTAAGATCCGTTTTACTGCCGTTTTGATACCTCGCCAGGTATCATCACCGTGTGCCTCCTTTGCTCCCTGAGTCGCTTGGTTGCAAGTGGTCTGCCTTCGCTCGCCGGATTGCGCCCGAATCGGGATCCGGGCTTTCTTTGCACAGGGCTTGTCTTTGAATTCTTGCACATAGAAAATTCCCACTCAGCTGGGGGGGGTGGGAAGTTTCGTCATGTATTTCCTCGTTGGGACCCGAAAAACCCGTGGTTTTTGCGGGTTCCGTGTTTCGCGAGCGATTCCCTCGACAGAACTCCCGGCGAGGCTTCAGTGCGCTGTGCGCGCTGCACCTCAAGCCCGGCTCCTGGATGCACCTTGCAATCACTCGCCTTCGAAAGACAAAGAAAACAACTTGGGGGTTCCCAGCCATCCGGTTCAAAAGCTTTTTAGCCTAGTGTTTAGTGGTTGGATTACCATGTAACCCACTAAAAGTTAGTCACTTATAGCGGGGGATCTGAGCACAGCCCAGAAAAGGCGCGGCTCTTTGCGGCTGCTTTGTCACATTTACAACAGTCGATCCATGGGTTTCGAACAAAACTGCACCTCTGATGTTTGTTTTTCCAGGAAGCCTCTAGAGCTCCCTGCCACAGGATGCAAAGGCACATGGCGAAGGCGCCAGTGTCTCTCGGCCTGGGTAAAACACCGCGAGGGGCAAACACGACGACTGGTGTCCACAGTGTCCTGCGCGAAGGCAAGGTGAAGCCGTATGGACTGTTGGTCCCATGTATTCACCGACTGGTCGTCTCCCTGTTGGCTCCCGTTGTTCAATGAAAAGAGCGATGCGCTCACAGCGAATTGGAGCTCTCATTCCCTGCCAGCCCCCCGTTTCAGGGATGTCGCCTTCAATTTTGAGACACACCCATACCAACGAAAATGTCCACTCAAGACAAGCACTGATGAAAGCTTGAGGCCGTTTAATTACATGCTCTGCAAGCTACACAGCTATGAAGCTGTGCCTGTTTTTCCGAAGCACCACTTCCATGCCCATCATGTGAGTCTTGAGGGGTCTCTTTTTGCCACACTAGGTGGAAGTTTGTTTGGTGTGAGGGTTAGTCCCAACCCGAAATTTAAACGGTTTCTCAAATTGGGAAGCAGGCAATCATGGCCTGCCAGTCTTTTCCCGCGAGCAAACAGAGACAAGGGACTTATTTTGTCGTGATCCCGCCAAATCTGTTGATTTTCTTTTGCTTCTTCGACCCCCAGAGGGGTACTATAAGGGCGTAAACAGTTAGAGTGCGGTGGAGTTCCTTTCAATCCATCGCAACATTTGACAGATTTAGTCTATAACCTCGCCTAGCCTCATGAACATGGCAGCTGTTTCGCCCTTTTGTCCGTCCAAGGTCTCTCCAGGACTGGTCTATACTTGCGCCGGCAGGGGGAAGGCTTCTGGCCGCATCTCTGCTGCTCGCATCGCCAGACGCCCTAGGCCTGAGTCTGGTGTAAGGTTTCACAGCCCAACGGACCCTACTCAATACCAAAGGGGGTATATGATGGGATGAAGCCCCAAAATCTGTGTCATGGTTGAGGTGTCCATCCCTGGAAAAGGGACAAACAGCAAAGAAATAAACAAACACACAACCAAACGAGCAAGCAAGCAAGCAAGCACGCACGCACGCACGCACGCACGCAAGCAACCAAGCAAGCAAGCAAACAAACAAACAAGCAGGCAAGCAAGCAAGCA